TTAAAAAATCTTAATTTCTTTAAAGTTCTCAAATTTACCAGTGATTGCGCCAGTAATTACTGAAACAATTAGGACAGTTGCAAGCGCTGCAAGTTGATAACCAGCCTGTACGAATACTTCGCGATTTTCACCATTTTTGTTAGCCATTGCTGAGTAAATCTGAGTTGCATTCCTGTAATTGTATTTTTGGAAACTTTAACGTCTACTGATAAATTTCATCCACCCATCCATTTTTCAATAAGTTAAAATCAACTAATTGATTTCATCCATCAACTTATCTATGTGATAGGTTCAATTTTTGGTTCAAAATTTCAATAAATGGAAACAGAACAACAATCAAATTCATGAAAATTTATCTAATTATGATAAATTATTTAACTGACTTAGTGCCATAACGAGCTGGTTCATACACAATCGTAAAGACGAAGCCAAGAATGCCAGCCAAAATACCTGAAAATAAATATTTTTTGAATACTCGTCAATAGTTACGAGACTTAGTCTTGCTGATCAAAAAAATCGTACATAAGTGAAGCGATAAATTCTGAAGCAGACCTGATTTAAGTTTACAAAGAAAATTAATTATTAAATTAGAACTAATCATTTTGTAGGATTTTTTTCTTCAAAGATAAACAAATCACCGGGAAGTCCATGGAATGCTCCAACACCACGTGTATCATGTATTTTAAGTGCTCGAGCAGAAATTGGCTAAAATAAAATTAGATTACAAGCATTTATTTTTGCAAAAGTGAATAATTAATTAGCTGACAATTCAGAAACTTGATAGATTTTAATCCTGAATAGGAATAATTAATGAAAATGAGGAAAGTAGATAATATCCAATACCCTAATATAATTATTGCCAATAATTGAAACCAAAGCACCCAAGCAACCGATTAAAAGAGCGTAAAACGGTTCAGAAATGATATTCGCAACGGTACCAATTGCAATGCCACCAGCAAGCACTGAGTTCATAATGTGCATCATTGAGAAGCGATACTGTAATAAAATACGAGAATTATTCCATTTGAAACAAAAAAACTAGCTGTGAAAGTGGACAGCAACAAACTTTGTGTTCACGATCAAAAAGTTGACTCAGTAAGAATGTGCAAATTGTAGAGGAGCATAGAGCCAAGTACGTATTCAAGATGGCACGATGTCGAGAATCTTCAGGAACTGCCAGAGCGGAATTAAATGACGGGAAAAATGCCCAAAGGAAGAGTGTTCCTACAAATACATTATGAATTCTTTAAGTCTTTTTATAAGGCTTTTCAATTAAGAAAAACTTGTTGCTCAAACTTTGCTAAAATATTGTGTTGTAAGGTAGTAGAAAGTTGACTGATCATAGCAACACTAACCGATCATAGCAAAAATGCTAGAATTATAGCTAGAACCATCATGTTGATGTCCCACCATTTCCTTTCTATTGAACAATTTTGCCACAGCTAAGCCAAAATAGGCTCCAAAACAGTGAACAAGCATTGCACGACCAATATCAATCGCCTAATAATTAAGTTGTCCATTAATTCATCATTACTTCAAAAATGACTACTACATTTTTTCTCAGATTCCGAGAAAAGGCATGAAACATAACTCATCCATCATAAGAGAATTAATACTTAATACTTGGAATAATATTTCGAAAACTTGAAACCTTGAGATAGTTGAGGACGAAATGTTCAACAGCAATAGCTACTGGTACTTCAATAGCTGCCATTACCAAATATTGTGTTGGAGTAAGTTTGCCCAAAACAGCACCCATTGTAATGAGTACAGTAATAGCAGAGAAATCAGCTGTTATCATGCTGAAATTGTTCCTTTTTAAAGTTTCTAATTAAAACAGCATGAAAGTATCAGTCATCGAAAATAGATGCAAAAATAAATTCATTAAAATGTAACTTACTCAGTGATTGAAATAGTAAAACGTCCAGTATCAGCAAATTCTTGCGAGAGAAATCCACGAATAATGAGAGCCCACTGAATTACAAGCGCCGTCAATAGAAGATTGATAGAAGGTGCTGCCAAACCGTATCGTCGTAAAAAGACCATAATGAATCCCATACCAATCAAAGTCATTAGGTGGACATCTTGGAACACTGTAATTATTCTTGAAAATAATTTTTGTATATTTCATATTTCTCTAATGTAATAAAAACCTAAAATGTTAATACTTTTGATTTTTTACTGATTCAAATTACCATCCAGTAAATGTGATTAAATAAAATCAATTGAATAAATACTGCAAAACTGAAGTATTCAATCATCTTTTAGTGAAATTAAAATCATGATTATCTAAATAAAGCAAACATGGGTAATTAGTGTTGATGAAGTCGGTACTACTATTACCACCAGGCAACGCATTGCTTGAATATGCTCCAAACAAGGCGAACAGAATTAGAAACAGAACCTAAAATGTTTGTAGCTAAATAAATTACATTCAAATTGGTTTCTAGCAAAATTATGGAAGAACTATGAAAGTAATGAATTTTTATCGAAATGATAAATTTCTAACTCTTTTAGCTAAATTTTTAAATTTGAAATAAATAATTACCTATGAATAAACAACCTATCGATAGTTAATTACATTTTAAGTAGTACTTTTTAAATCTTTAATTTTGTAGCTACATTTTTGCAGCAACTTGATCATAATTATGAGTCTTAATCATCAACAGTAATAAATTATGTCTTGGCAAAGCAAATGAGAAACATAATGACCATAGAAATATTACCACAGAATAAAACTCTGACGATAATAATAATTATATTAATAAGAAATTAATAATAATCAGAAGAAAAACAATGTGAATAAGACAGCAGCGAAAGTGATAAAAGTAATAAGATTGCTAATAATATAATTTTTTGTACTTTCTCTCTTAATTTTAACTCAATCATTAATATGCCATATATTGCCATTTTTCAGATGAAATTTTGAAAATAAAAAATTTAAATAAATTTGTTGAGAAAAACATCTACAAAAAAAAGTAAATAAAGTTTATCAAAATATTTTTAATGATTAAATATCAGTCACGTTTTTCTTCTTCCTTGCACAACACTTTCAAATATTTGTTACGAATTAGTCAAGTCGTAAAACAGCAGCAAACAATAATAATCATAAAAATATAATTTAAGAAAATGAAAGTAGCTGAAAATGACAGATATTTTGTACTATCTTTAGTAAAATTCCTCCAAACATTTAGAAACTGAAATGATTGCCATATAAAAACTATTATTCTGATTTCTTAAGAATTAGTTCCACTTGTTCCTTACTAAAGTAAATAATAATAAACTATGTAGCAAAATGTCAGAATTACTAATTTGTCCATTTGGATTATCAAAATGCATAAGATAAATAGCGCAGCAATATGTCAATTGAAGTAACAATTAGATGAATGTGACCTGCTAGACAAATTTTGTACGACTGCGAGTATGAGCGAAACCGAATCGTATGTGTAAAAAAAACGATAAAAAACAACTACAATCATAAGAAATGCAAAGTTCATTACTTAGTCATAAATAAAGAGGTATTAATAGCAAGTATGATTTGAACTGAAAAGGATCAAAATAAAGCTCAAAAATTACTGACCTGAAACAAAATGGCGAAGATGGTGAATTGCTTTCGATGGAATAATGACGTCATCTTTCCTACAAAAATTCTAAAAAATAATAAATTCACGTTATCGACGGAATTTTTTTCACGAGCGAAAAAATTCATGTTATTATAATTACGACTGAAACGAAACTAAATACTGGTACAACATAGGATTTGAAACTGTACTCGTATTCTTGCAATGTCAAGAAAACTGAAATGTGCTATCAATAAAAGTGAATTATAACGAAAACAAAAAGAATATTAAAAAAATTCTATGATACTTGAAAATAAACGACAAATGGATAATTCAGTAAGTATAATTTCATATTACTCTCAATATTTCAATTTGAATTTGAAAATTTACTTGTTTATATCACTCAAAAATACCAAATAACGCAGAAATCATTAATTTCTAACTTGATAAATTTGAATACTCAATAAAATTCAATTAAAAATAAAACAGACAATATCATAAAAAATTTTTTCAGCCTACTTTTTGCCATCAATCATATACAAAATAATGACAAATATTTGTAGAAATATACGGTAACATTTTTAAATTTAAATTTTAAATTGGTCAATTTGTGCAAGAAAATGAAATGAATGAAAAGATGAAAACAGCTGTTTATAATTTACAGTAGAATTTAGACAACTGTAACTGCTCAAGCAGCAGCTACACTAAACAGAAGTGAACTGCTAGTTAAAGTCAAAATTTCTATTCCTTCTAAAATTGGAACAAAAAACCGATAGAAGGAAAAGGTTCAGGCTACCTGATATCTATGTCATAATGTGTTCAAATCATTATATAACATAGCTAGAAAATTATCAATAGTGCAATCAGATGATGTGAAGGCTATACTACATCATGTGCTAATGTTTACAATAATAGCAGATAGCAAGTTGTGTAATATTATAAAAGATGAGATGCGAATTGCTGACGAACAAAAAGCATACAGAAATTATATAAAAAGAGAATTATTTGATTTCATTTCTTTTCATGCAACATTTTTGATATTTTTCAATTATCGTGTGAAATAATACCCAGTATATACATATATCACTCAACACTTGCAAATAGGAAAATCTTCCACATTATTTAAAAAAATATATTATACATAAATCTCTAATTTTTAGCATAATTCTCGCTCAAAGACGAGCACCACAAGTGAATTTAAACTTGAAAAATATCACAAAAGTTGTTCGCAAAAAAAAGAAAAAAAATCTAACTTCGTTAATAAATTCTCTTTACAGCAATAAGAGTGGATGACAAAAAGACTTTAAAATGGCAATTTTAGAACGTTTTGAAACTGTATTATAATGCTAACGGTCAAAATGGAAGAGATATTTAAAAGTAAAAGTAAAGGTTAAGTAATAAAAAATATATGAATTGGCAGCCTGTGACCCGTAATGAATTTGGAAAGCATAGGTAAAATCAGGTATAACAATTACTGCTTGGCATCTTATCAAATAACTAGACTGATGAAAGATATCCTCTAATGAGATTTCAGTACGAATAAGTAACTGAGACTGAATCATAATTATATTAGAATAGACGAATTCGAAAGAGGATTGCAGACTAACTACAAAATTTGATAAGACAGAATTAAACATCACAGAAATACTAAAATTAGGGTAAAACGGAAAACAGAAATACATTACAGAAGCGGAGAACAGAAAATCCGAAATGTAGTATACTGCCTTGACAAACATTGCTAAAAGAAAGTAACAACTTATAATTTGGTAACGAAAGTTATCTTAGAAGATAATGTAGAAATACGTACGTAAATAAACAGGTACATAAGTAAGCACGTAAGTAAGTTAAGAATGGGAGAAGGTATAAATATGAAGTATTTCGACCCGAGTAGAAGTTACTCACAATAAATAGAATGAAAGAAAGAGCGAAACAAAGAGCAAAACACTCGCACAGCACTCTCGTCCTCACCTCGGATGAGCTATGAATGGTCAGTGCGCGTCTTGACGGCAACTGTTGTGAATGAATAAATAGCTTTTGCCCACTCGCTCGCTTCCTTGCCAGAGGTCAATCTTCCTTCGCTTGCTGTATGCATCCCTGCCACTCCATTATCCACTACGCTCCGCCTTTCCTTTCCTCCTCCACCCGCTTTACACTCCTCATACCGTATGTGTATCAAGTAATGTCCACTTGCATACAAATAATTATGGCACTGTTGACTAACTATTTGAGCAGCCGTTCTCTTCGGTCACATAAATCCCAGAAAGCTAGCGTGACTCATTTTATCCCTTTATTGTTCACTACTACAAATATGTATTACATAGTGCCATGACTATCACTATCATACAGACACATATGTAGTCATCTCATCTTCAGCATACTTACTACCATTCAAAAATTTGAAATAAATCAGATGCAATATACTCTCCCGCTATCTTCTTTCTTTCTCCAACACACAGAGAGTGAGGGGAAACGGGTGAAGCATTTGCTTGCCCTTTACATTGACCAAATAATACGCCATCTTCCCGAGCCCTTATGGGAAATGTTATGATTTCTAGGTCATTTCAATTATCCCTTCCCTCATCTGAGGGACCATATCATCAAACAACAGTCTGGAATTAATTTCAATTAATTCACCCTTGAAAATATCACTTTAATATTTGTAATTTCTCACCTGCTTGTTTATTATTTCACACAGCAATGAGTAAGAAAGCGAGTACAAATTATCCGAATCTTAAATATACATTTATCAATTTTCCTGAGTTAATTTTTATAAAATTCTCAGAGCAGTAGTACTTCGAATACAACTAAATTGAACTAAATATGTTCTTAGTTCCTATTATTTTTATAAAATAAACACGTGTATGATAACTTTATCGGATATAGAAGTGAAGCACTAACAATTTCTTGGTAGTAGTAACATGTGATAGAATGGATGACTGAATGTCTGGAGCTGACATTTTATTTCTATGTTATTGTTATGATTTTGTGTTGGGTTGTTGTTGTTATTGCTTTCATGTCATATGCTATTTATTCTTTGGTGTGGAATAGCTATAGAAAATTTACGAACTAGTAGTTCATTTGATAGCATAGAAAACTGATCGAACTAGTGATTGATTATTCGATTTGTAAGAGTAATCACAACACCGTACTCCTTCCTTTCTCATATTGTGAGCAAATCCACAAATCTAACTTATCCTGAAGAGGGCATACCGCAGTTTTGGTACTTATCTGAAAACTTTATACAACGGTTTTGAATAGTCAAGAAAGCTGAAAAATGGACTTGAGCTTACGTATTTTTAAAAGCTGTTCTAAGTATAATGCTAAACACACAATCGAGAACGGTTTTCATGTGCAAGTTTTTCTTATAAGCAACATTGCAATACATTTCTGACTGTTTCTATTAGCACTGATTTAGATAATTTAAGAAATATTAATAATATGTTTAGATGATCAATTATGATATGATATGATGTGATATGATATGATAACTAGATTCATTTATCAAGCGAAGGAAAATAAAGACTCTATAATTATGCCATCATAAATAATATATTTTTATTTAAGAAATGAGCATGAGCAATCTAAAATATAACATTTTTATAGAGAGTATTCACTCATTTCCATCTCTCTTTACAGTAATAATACTTTACCAAAGAATATTACAGTTTTTACTGCCTTAGTAATTATTATTATTTACCGGCCATAAATTTTTCAGAATTTGAAATTCTCTTTATTTCACATTTCTTTAGACATTTTTTTGTATTCCTAATTTTACATGATAATTTGTTTTTTTAAGGTATTTTTCACTTTACGTCATAATTTGTAAAAAATATGCTGAGATTCGTTCAATTTTGTGTCATTTATAAACGTAATTTTATATAAAGATTTAGGCCAAAAAATTAAGATTAAATACAAAAGATTTAAACTGCCAATCATAGTATTGAAGTAAGTGACATAATTAACTTTTGAATTTAAACTTTAAGAAATGCAAATTTATCGCTAAAAATTAAATTTGGAGCTGATTAATGAGACATAGACTGACACACATTACTTTCTTACTAACAGAACAAACTATTAATAATTTATCCCTGTTTCCTGTCGTTTAAGCTCAATTCTATTCATATCAGAAAAGCTATAGTTCTGAATTACTTTAAT